CTTCTGAATTTTACCCTGAAAGATTGAATGCTAGTACTGGGATTTTGAATAGTATATCACGAAGATTAAAAAATGTCCTGCCATGTGCAATAACACGGTTGAGCTTTTGGAACTACTGAAACTGAATAAAATAAACCAGTCACAGGATGAATATTCTAGGGCATCTCTGAGAGACCGAGGAGAAACAAATACTACATAGGTGCCAGAAATTTTCTTGTACAAATTTTCTTGAGCAAATTAATTCCTCATACACATTTACTGTAATTTTTCACTCTCATTCAGTATACACGCTTTTCATGTTGATGATCTGTAAACCTAAACTACCCCATTACACTAGAGAATTTTCTGAATTGTTGTATTACAATTCATCTCTCCCATTGAGGCAGAGGGGCTGGCTAAATAGTTTAGCAGATGTAGATACTCGCCTCCAAACTTGATCCATAAGACTTATTTTTTTGGAAAGAAAGACCTGACTCTCACAAACTGTTCTCTGACCTCCACACATACTATGACATGCGTACACACACAGACACACACAGACACACAGACACACAGACACACACACACACACACACACAAAGTAAATAAACTCATGTAAAGAAAAAATATTAAAATTGAAGGATAAAGTTATTTATAGTTTTGTTCAGTAGCATATTTATAACATGTGAGGTTTGCTAGTACAAAGATTGTATTCTTTAAATAGACATTGAGTGCTTTTCTGCATAATAAACATTTTTAACACAGACATCACAGGTTTCCATTAAATTCTGACTTTCAGGACTGACATTGGATGTAACATTTAAGACAATATTTTGCTTATCTTTTCCCATGTCCTTTGCAGAGCATATTTTACATCTTTGTTTCTCAAACTATAGATCAAAGGATTCAGCATGGGGATAATCAGGGTATAAAAGATGGAGGCCACTTTATCAGTGTCAAAGGAGTGACTGGACTGGGGCTGCACGTACATAAATATCAAAGTCCCATAGAAGACTGTCACCACCGTGAGGTGGGACCCACAGGTGGAAAAAGCCTTGCGCCTGCCCTCAGCAGAGTTCATCCTAAGAATGGCTATGAGGATGAGCAGGTAGGACACAAGTACGACCAGGAGAGAGGACATCAAATTAAAGGCAGCCAGGATCAGAATGATCATTTCAATTTCGTAAGTGCTTGAGCAGACCAAAGATAGCAAGGGGAGACTGTCACAGTAGAAGTGACTGATGACATTGTAGCCACAGAAGGACAAAGTGAAAATTTTTATGGTGACCAGAAGAGACACAAAAGTACAGTAGAGATAGGGGATTGCCACCAGCACCTGACATACCCTCTGTGACATGATGACAGTGTAGAGCAGTGGCTTACAGATGGCCACATAGCGGTCATAGGACATCGCAGATAGAATAAAAAGCTCACTAATTATAAACACAAGGAAGAAAGCTAGCTGTGTAGCACAGAGGGTAAAGGAGATTGTGTTTAAAGGCACAACAAAATTTACCAGCATTTTTGGTCCCACAGCTGTAGAATAACCCAGATCTGTAATAGCCAGGTGTCTGAGGAAGAAGTACATGGGTGTTTGCAGCCTGGGGTCCACAGTGGTGAGGACGATCATGCCCAAATTGGCTACTGCTGAGATCAGATAGATGAAGAGGAACAGCCCAAACAATGGGGCTTGCAGCTCAGGACGGTCAGTGATGCCCATCAGGATGAATTCCATCACTATCGTGACATTATGTGTTTCCATCAAGTTTTATTACAGAACCTATTCTGGGCAAAAACATAACATCAAAGTCAGTACTTTACATTGCAGTCACCTGACAATTTAGGCAAGATAATGAACTCAAATGTATATAACCTCTCAAACTTAAGAGTATTTTGAAGTAACCAAATCTTTATGAATTAAAATATCTGGAAATAGAAATCAATCAGTGCTCTCAGCTAATGAGATTTTGCTCCCAGAAGAAAACATTTCAGTGTCTGTAGATGTTTTGGTTTTTATAAATATGTGTGAGCTGCAACTGGCACATGATGCTTCAACATCATTTGAGCTGCTAAGCTTTCTCTTGTAACTAATATTGTCTTAGACCAATATAAATATATATCCATAAATTACAAAAATAATTTTAAAAATTCAATGTTCTTTTACCTTTTTGTATAAATAATGTTTGTGTCCATTTAAAAATGCTGTTTGAAATATAGATAGATAAGCAAACATATATATCAAAATTATAAACCTAGGTAGATGGAAAGATATGTAAAGATAGATAAAGATAAGTATGCAAGAGAAAAAGCCTTGAGCTTAAACATTGCAAAACATTCTATGGTATTTGAATGAGTTTATATTATATTTACTCTGCTACTCTAAGTTTTCTATTTCATTTTTATATAATTAAATCACATACTGGATTATTAAATTAATATTAAATGGCCTACTCCATATCAGTTATATAACCAATACATAATCAGTTACTTTCTAATAGCAAATTCCAAAAATCATACAGTGTCCTACATTTTGTTTAATTAATTCTTTAGTTTAGCATACAACGCAATGGGTCTCAGCATGGCCTCTTCATACATGGGTCATTTTGTTTGCTTTTCCACTCTGCCCTCCATTTAATGGATTGCATTTCTTTAAAAAATAGTTTATTTATTGTTTTTATTTTATGCATATAAGTGTATTGCTTGCTTCTATTTAAAGTGCACTGGTGTCATGCAATGACCATAGAGGTCAGAAAACCGCTTTGGATCCCCTGGTACTTGAGTTAGGGAAGGTCATTAGTCACCATGTGGGTCCTGGGAATCAAACCCCAATCCTCTTTAAGAGTAGTCAGTGCTCTTAATTACATTTCTCCAGCCTCTGAGTTTCCCATTTCTTAACCTTATATTAATTTTTTTCTGTAGAGAGAAATTTATTATTCTCAGTCTTTTGTTTGTTTGTTGTTTGTTTGTTTTGTTTTGTTTTGTTTTCGGGGCTGAGGACCAACCCCAGGGCCTTGCAGCTTGCTAGGCAAGCACTCTACCATTGAGCTAAGTACGCAACCCGTATCCTCAGTTTTTTAAATGAAAGAACTGGTAGAAAGAGGTCTCCAAACATATCAGAGAGAAATCTGAAATGGGAAGTTAAGTTTTACGTTGTAACAGTCAGTTCCACCAGAATTTCATCAGTGACCACATCAGGACCAGCTTCTGCCTTTGACAAAAGTCCCTGTGAACTCTTGGGTGCATTTCCAAATTTACACAGATGCTCTATTACCACCAGTTGAAATGCAGGCCTGTGTGATTTCCTTCAGAGAAATATTTTATGTACCTACCCATCTAGAAGAGGGAGGTATCCCAAGGATAGTGAGACTCAATGTGCTCCAATTTGTTAAAGTTGAGTTGACAAGGCTCTAAGAAATGGCTTTAGGGAGCGACTCCAGCTTCTGCTGGCTCTAGGTGTTGCAGATGCAGATCCATGCTCAGGATACCTGGGCATTTGTACATGCTGATCTCCATTTAGTCAGCTGTGAGAGAGCTGCTCCTTGAAAGCCCAGCCCTTTTCTCTGAAGAAAGCCAAGTTTCCCAGAAAGGCTTGGAGGGGGAGGAGACTCAGGACAAGGCAGAGAGCAAAGTTCAGAGAGAGGCACTCAAGCTCTAGGTCATGGTCCTGATAGGGGACTCTAAGAAGGCCAGGCCATAGGATATGACAGTTTAGTCCTCTGGGACTCCAAAGAACAGGGGAAGAAGCTGCCAGAGCACCGGGACTCTTGACTACTGCCGTGCCTCTAACATACTGTGTCTTGGGGCGAAGACTAAGGAACACTAAGCAAGACCTAACTGGCCGGAACTGGGCCAAGAAAATGGGCTTTGCTGCTTAGGGTTGTGATCATGGCTAGATTGCCTCACACTCTGGAGGGGACTGTGGTGGATTAGCTCCAGTGGCCCTGCCGTCACCTGTATCTGGCTATAGCACTAAATATACCACATGAAAGTTTAGGCTGTAAATCACTTAAACCCAGCACTACTATGAGGCCGTTATTACTGCTGTACCCAATTTGCTAAGAAGGCAAAAGCACGTAGACAACATTCAGCGGAAACGTAATATTAAGAGAGGGATGCCCAAAATATCCACAGGATGGGGAGAATGGCACGAGAGGAAATTTAGGGATATCTCAGATGGAGAAAATGGGTCAAAGTGTCTCAGCCAGGAGGTGGCAGGAAAAGGGCTGGCACTAGGTAACCTCTTGCTTCGTTTGCCTAAGCACTGGTAAGGGAGTGAATCAGAGGGAGATGTGGGGAAGGGATGCTAGGGAAGGAGAGGTCTTTGGGAAAGACCTCAGGCCAACCAGCGAGTGTGGTATGGGGACTTCTGGTGGCCATGGAGTGAGATCCTCCCAACTTGTGCCTGGTTAAGTGTGAGATGTGAAATTGGAAGTGCATGGGCGACTCCACACCTGGCTCGGCCACCTCCTTGGGCCCTGGTAGCTGAAGTAGGCATTGAACATACCCAGGTGGCCGAGGGGCAGGCATCCTATGGGCTCTTTGAGGAGTAGAAGTGGAATCAAGGGCCTCCAACATGATTCAGTTGTAGCAGTAGCCAGGCAACAGGAAGCTTGCTCAACAGCTTCTGCTGTAGCTGCCCAGGAGCGTGGACCCTGGTGTCCCGCCCTCTGCTACTGCTTTCTTCCACCTGGGCCTCTCCTGCCCTGCCCCTAGTCCAGCGGGTCAACCACCAAGCATCCTTGCCTCTATCCCATACTTCTTAATACAGTCCTTAAAATTCCTTACATTAATAAGTCGTACAGTTGAAATTTTTAGTACCATTGGTAGATATAAAATGTCTCAGAGATCATATTGGAAATTGTCTTTATATGAAATTTGAAAAAATACATGACAAATATGGATGTGTATTTATGAGTCTGTTATGCCTTAGTGTATATACAGAGCTCATTTTGGCCAAAGTTATCCATAAAGCCCTTAATTCGAATTTCTAAAACCTGTACTAGCTTCAGGCATGGTAGAGAATGCAGGAAATAGGATTAAGTGATTCACCACCTGTGTGATACTTGAAAATAGCTCAGAGATCAAGCACGATGTTTCTTGGTAGTGTACTTTTCTCAGATTGACAACATAACCTACCTGAAAGGTTTCTTTACATGCACATGAGCACATGCTTCTGCAGAAGACTGGACTTTCTTTTCAGGACTGCAGTGGAGCACACAGGAAAAACAGGTAAAATAGGATCTATCCATGCAGCCTGCCCCAAACACCAGACCCAACCCACACTGGGTAACTACAATGAAACAGTATCATATATATATATATATATATATATAATCTTGTGATCTTTTTTTC